CATAATATTTTGGAAACTTTCTTGGGAAATATATGGTTACCCACTAGGGTGGTGGGTAGCTTTGTTTTTCATTAAATGGGGGTGAATAAGTTAGTGGATACTATGGAAATGTAGATACATGTATTCATGTTTCAGGATTAGTGAGTCCTACAAAAAAAAAAAAAGAATGATTCCTATGTCATCAATTACCTGGTAAGTAATTCCCTCCCAAGACCTGGGTAAGTAAGGTCACGTTTGGTTCAATTTTCATTCTTACCCAATATGAAATTGTAAAATAGAAAAGAATGGGTAAAATAGGTAGAATGAGAAAATATTGATATGAACCAAACACTTTTTTTCCTAAAAATTAATTATTTTCAAACTAACAAGTGTCCTATGTTGTTCATTTTCATTATTCGAAAAAAAAATTGTGCTAGTATTCACAAACTGCCAACCTAGGTCTCCAACAGTCAATGTTTACCAATTGGCATATATCTTTTGTAAAAGTACTTCGTAAAAGTGCTTTTATAAAAGTAATCTTGTAAAAGTGCTTCCTAAAAGTGCTTTCATAAAAGTACTTTTGTAAAAGTTCTTTCGTAAAAGTACTTTCATAAAAGTATTCTCGTAAAAGTACTTTCATAAAAGTACTTTCGTAAAAGTGTTTTTATAAAAGTGCTTTCGTAAAGTGCTTTTATAAAGGACTTTTACTTAAAAGTGATTTTACAAAAGTACTTCCATCAAAGTGCTTTTGCAAAAGTATTTTTGTAAAAGTGCTTTTATAAAAGTACTTTCGTAAAGGTGCTTTTATAAAAGTACTTTCGTAAAGGTGCTTTTATAAAAGTACTTTCGTAAAAGTGCTTTTATAAAAATACTTTCATAAAATTGCTTTAGTAGTCTACTTTTATAAAAGTGTTTCCGTAAAAGTGCTTTTATAAAAATACTTTCGTAAACATACTTCCATAAAAGTGCTTTAATAAAAGTACTTCCATCAAAATGTTTTTATAAAAGTACTTTCATAAAAGTGCTTTCGTAAAAGTGCTTTCATAAAAGTGTTTTCATGTTAAAGTACTTTTGTAAAAGTGCTTTTGCAAAAGTAAACATCTTTGGCAACAACTTTATAGGTTGAGTTTCCTCAAAGAATGAAATGAGCAAGATGGGGCATGATTGTTTTTCATGTTGCAAGCTAGTCAATTTTTGTGCTATGGGGCTGATTTTTCATTCAAAAAATAATGTGGCCCTTGGTAAGAATTTTGTAACCAAACACTTTAATGTTATTCACTCTTGCCCATTCTTACTTAGAATGAGCAAGAATTAAGAGAATGAGGCCCCGAGTAGTGAAACCAAACATGGCCTAACTTTCCCGTTCATGTGGACAATTGCTAACATTGATGGAACAACATTGTCCTTTCAATAGAGACACTTTTTATGGATAAAACAATCACTGTTTAACTTCACCTAGGAAACAAATGAACATAGGTGAATGCACTTACCCAAGTCGGAATAAATGCATTTACCTAGATAAATGACTTATTGAGAAATGAATGCAAACCCTAAATAGAACAACAAATCACCACGGGCCCATGGTTTACTGAAAAGTGAAACCAGAATTGTTGGTCAATGGGAACCACCATTGACCAACCCCCCTCCATTTTATTGAAGCATAAATTGTTTTTTCCTTGGGTAAGTGATACTTAGGCTCCATTCGCTTTTCGGTAAGTTATTTACTCGGGTAAATGCATTTACCCAGGTAAGTGTTTCCTAGGAAAAACTTACTCAGGCAAGTGCATTTATCCATGTTCTTTTGTTTCCCATGTAAATAAGGAGATGACCATTTTGACCATAAAAATCCAATATTAAAAGGGCATTTTTGTCCCATTCAAGTGTTGGCAACTTTATCCCCAAGTGGGAAAGTTATTTACCCACCAAGGAAATGGGTATCACTTACTTGTAGAGGTGTAAATCAGGCTGTGCCGCCCGCGACTCGACACGACGGTCTGCGGGTCATGCTGGGCCTTGGGTTTTAGGTCCACTGGTCGGGCCCGCTCGTGGCCCGCATGCCGGCACGACCCAACATGACCTATATATATTATATTATATATTTATATAGTATTATATAAATTATAATTATATAATATATTAATAAAATAAATATATTTTTTATTTTATTATACTAATTTATTTAATTATTGTGTATATAAGCAATTGTATACATCAAAATTCATATGAAATTAAAATTTTAAGTTTTTTGTCTAAATTTTTAAATAAATAGCTTTGGCCCAATGCACGGCCCAACTTGGCCCATGGGCCAGCCTGGCCTGCGGCATGACACCGGCTTGCACGGGCTGACCCCCCAAGTTATCACAGGGGAGAGCAACACTGCCCGCACTTTGCACGGGCCAGTTTTAGACCTCTACTTACCGGGTAAGTTATACACAAGAAAATAAACTTTTCCTAATCCCCACATAAATCTGAAAAAAGAACATGGGTTTCTTGGTCAGTGGGAATCAAAATCCCGTTGACCAATTTCCCCCCCTCTTAGAATCCAAAAAAGAATGCCCCCCTTAGGGAAATCAATTTACCATGGAGCCCATAGTTTACTGAAAAGTAAACTCGAGATTGTTGGTCAATGGGAACCACTTTCCTATTGACCATCTTCCCCCTCCATTTCCAAAAACGAATGGGCCTAAAAATGTTATTAATCAATCAACTATATCATAAGAGTGGTAACTAATCAACTACCATTCATCAAAATTCATTTGGATTTTGATTGGTCAAGGTTCTTTTGGTATCATAACTTTCTAGCATCATAGAAATTGCCATATAATAGTTGCTATATAATGCCAATGCTTCTCTTGGCTTCATAAGGGAATGATGCCAGATGAATTTGATCGATTATAACCTCCATGGATTTTGATGAATATTAGCTTCTTGGCATATTGTTTTTTGATTTTTAGGAATTATACCTTATTGATATCATAACTAAAGAAAATATTTTCAAAATCTAAATGCCATTTATCTTTGAAAAAGTTTATATTAATTTTCTGCATATATTTTCATTATTTTAATTAGAGCAAATTGCTGAAAACTCTCATGAAGTTTCTGACCATTTGTTGAAACCTTCCCGTTTGGTAATTGCAATTATCTCCCCTGAACTTTCTTACATAGTTGCAAGTAAATCCCTTTGGTTAGAATTCTCTAACAAAAGGCACAAAATTGTACAAAATGCAAATGCAATTATTATTGAAGTTGGTTTCTATGAAAAATGCAATACAAACTTTATAAACAACAAAAAAAAAGAAGAATTTAAAGTTGCAGCTTTACCTTCGAGTGGTTGATAAGAAGGGCAAATTTGAAAAATAAACAATTTTAGAAAAGAGATGGGAAGGGTTTGGGATAGGGATTCACATGAAGTTACAAATTTAAACATAAACATTTTGACCAAAAGTAATTGAATTGGGTATTTTGGACATTTTCATACCTCTTTTTTAGAGGATTCTAACAAAGAGAGTACTTACAATTATGTCATAAAGTTTAGGGGAGGTGATTGCAAATATCAAACTTCAATGGAGGCTTTTGCAACAGTCAGAAACTTCATGGGAGGTTTCAATAATTTACCCTTTAAATTAAATAGTTAATATAATATAATATAATAGTGATAATCAAATAGTTCATTTCCATTGTAGTGAAACCCAAAATATCCATATTTTCCAATAAAACCCAAATATCCATTGATGGGTGAGTTCATATTTCCTCCTCAAACCCACTTCAAAGTACATTGTAGTCATACATCACCAATTTATCCATGTTTGTATGTTTTCATTCACGGGGAAATGAAAACATACAAACATGGGATATTTATCACTAACCCCATAATACAAGGGGGATCTTTGTCTAGAAATGACCACTCCTACTAATAACCCATCAAGAATGCAGATTTCCTTTCCTGAATTTCACTTTGTGACAAATACCCCTTAAGTCATAATACATTAAATTATTATAATGCCCACCTGGATTTTTCTTTTTATTTTTCCCCCCTTGCCCTTTTCTCTTAAACTCTAGTTGACAAAAAATACCTCAATTTTATCCAAACACTAAAATAATAGTATAACAATAATCATTTTATTAACATAAAAAGTTATTTTATATTACTGTGATGCATTTCATTAACATGAATGTCTCTCTTCATCTTAAATACACAAATTATAATTGATTTATCCAATAAATCAAGAAAAATCAAACAAAACCATACATTTATATCTATCAAAAAGAAACATTTACTGATGTTTCATTTGAATATTGAATCCAACAAAAATATATGCAATGATCTATTGGAGCAACCAAGAGGACTTCAATGTTATATTTAGAAAACTATTCAAATCATAATTCGTTCAAATAAATAAGAAAAGCGTGATTCAAGGATTTAAAAATTTGTAAACATTGGAATGAAAATCTTTTTTTCAAAATTAACTAAGTTACTTTAACAGAAGGGGGTATTTGCACTAGTACAAATGCATGAGAGTGCAAATGAAAAAAATGTAAATTCTCGTTTAATTTTGTTTTGGATTTTACTTTATTCTGCTTCTTGTCTTAATTGATTTCATTTGTACTACAATCAAGCAAAATAAACTAAAATTTGAAACAAAAATAGGTCAGGATTTACATTCAAATAATTTGCACTGTCATAATTTTGCATCAGTTCAAATTTATTTGTATTGCAACCAAGCACAATCTAAGACTCAGTTTGGAAGGAATACAAATATATAAAATGCAAAACCTAATATTTTATATGTATTTGTATTATACATATTTGTATTTATAGTGTTCCAAACTGAGCCAAAGTGAAAGTCCAGAAAAGTCTTTACACTATTTTATATGCATCAAAATATAAATTGTTATAGGGTATAGTTTCTTGGTTGATTTAGGCCCAAAGCCTGGCCCGGCCCATGGTCACCCTATGTGTAAGAAGATTACAATCCATCGGAGGCTTTTAAGTGTCTACAAATATAGCTGTAGACCATGAATCTATTCTGTAAAGCCCTAAAGCCCTTAACGAGCATCCCTCCCCTGAACAAATACAAGCTTCTAGTTGTTCTCTAGTTCATAGTTTCATACTACATACTGACCCTCCTTAAACGCTTCCACCTCTCGATCGTTTTCGCGAAGAAGCATCGAAGATGTCTCTGAGGGTTCTTAATCCAAATGCAGAAGTTCTCAACAAATCTGCAGCACTCCACATGAACATCAATGCCGCCAAGGGCTTGCAAGATGTTCTCAGGACTAATCTCGGACCCAAGGGCACCATCAAGATGTAAGACTTCTTCTTCCTCATATTCAATTTGTCACTATCACTGTCAGCACAACCATTGACGTTCTCTTTGATCTCTGTTTATCTTCAATTATTCAATCATCCTGCAGGCTTGTCGGAGGGGCTGGAGATATCAAACTTACCAAAGACGGCAACACTCTCTTGAAGGAAATGGTTAGCTCTTCAAGAACCCTATTTTTTTTGTATTTGATCTCACATTTTGATTTTCATCAGATGTTTGCATTGTTTGATTGAATGTTTGAGCATGATTTATCGTTCGAACTTGTTTTGAAAACCAGAGTTTTAACTCTCAACTTCCCTGTTTATAATGTCATGCTGTTTCTCCTTCTCTTTTGTTGGCGTGCTTGTTCGTCCATTGATGTTTTGCATTTGGTAGTTATAATGTTTTGCTTATGGCATTTAGCAAATTCAAAACCCGACGGCTATCATGATTGCAAGAACTGCTGTTGCCCAAGATGATGCCAGTGGTGATGGTACAACTTCTACAGTGATTTTCATCGGCGAGCTTATGAAACAATCTGAGCGATACATTGATGAAGGTTAGTAGCACCGATATGGATATTTTTTGTAATGAGTTTAGTGCTCAGATATAAAAGAAGAAAATTTTAAGAAGAAATAGTGACGCACGAAATTAAACCCTATATATAAACCTTAGCACGGGCAGTGATTCGACCCATGTCATAGTCTTCCCACTTGGATTACCAGTCCCTGGTTCCAATTGTATTTCTGTTAATTCTTTTTTTATTTTAAAGTGTATAACTGTATATTATGTAGTTTCTCGAGTGCGCGAACTAATGTTTCATTTGAAACCAATTTGTTAGTGTTCGGTGCCTGTTAGACTGATAATAGTCAAGGAAGAGAGAGAGAAGAGAGAAGGAGAGAAGGAGAGAAAGAGAGAAAGGAGAAGAGCAGAAGAGAAACAAGGAGAAAAGATTTTGGTTCGAATGAGAGAAAAAGTTCACTCCCCCATTCGGCTAGATGTATTTTATATTACTAAAATAATGTGGAAAAGTCACATATGCCCCTACTTAAGTTAGGGACATTAAATCTAACATAAACTTACACATCAACACCTAAATACAAGTACAAAGACAGAATTACCCCTACATACTCGACACTAACACTCCCCTTCAAGCTAGAGAGTATATATCATATAATCCCAGCTTGTTACATATGTAGTCCACTTTCCCCCGACTCAACCCTTTAGTAAACAAATTTGCCCACTGGTTCCCTGTGTTGACATATGTAGTGTCTATCACTCCACTCAACACCTTCTCTCTAACAAAGTGACAGCCAACCTCTATGTATTTGGTTCTCTCATGAAACACCGGATTAGAGGAAATGTGAATTGTAGCCTGATTGTCACAGTAGAGCTTCATTGGAGTATCAACAGTGTATCCCATCTCCTGTAGAAGGTTCCTTAGCCACACTAATTCACAAGTAGTATGTGCCATAGTTATATATTCTGCCTCTGCACTACTTCTTGCTTTTCCATGTCACTAGTTTACCCCCAAGAAAAGTGCAATAGCCTGTGGTAGATCTCCTATCAGATACAGAACCGGCCCAATCAACATCAGTATATCCTTATATTTCAAGTTTTCCACCAATTCTGTATATCAAACCGCGACTAGGAGCTCCCTTTAAATACCTCACAATCCTTATAACCACATCCCAATGTGGGACCAGAGGTTTCTGCATGAATTGACTTACCACACTAACTGTGAATGAAATGTCTAGCCGAGTGATGGTTAGGTAGTTCAGTTTCCATAGGAGTTTTAGCTGGTTTAGCACCTAACAAACCTGTTTCTTCAAGTAAATCAAGAGCATATTTCCTCTGGCACAAGTTAATACCATGCTTGGACCTTGCTACTTCTATCCCCAAGAAATACTTCAATTTACCAAGGACCTTTGTCTGAAAATGTTCCTGCAGAAAGATCTTCAACATGTCAATGCCCATTTTGTCGATCCCGGTAATGACAATATTATCTACATACACCACTAATAGGATCTTCCCTGCCTGAGAGTCATGACTGAAGACGGAATTGTCAACTTGACACTCTTTCATACCAAACTTCTTTACTACCTCACTAAATCTGCCAAATCATGCTCGAGGAGACTGTTTAAGCCCATAAATGGCCTTTAGTAGCCGACACACCTTACCATCCTCCCCCTGAGCAACAAACCCTGGTGGTTGCCCCATATAGACCTCCTCGAGCAGATCACCATGCAAGAAGGCATTCTTGATATCAAGTTGATAGAGGGGTTAATCATACATCGCAGCAAGAGAAATCACAACACGGATTGAACCAATCTTAGCAACCGGGGAGAAAGTCTCTGTGTAATCAATACCATAGGTTTGGGAATGCCCTTTGGCAACCAATCTAGCTTTCAACTGCTCTACATTACCATCAGGTAAGTACTTAACCGTATAAACCCACTTACAGCCAACAACCTGCTTATCAGGAGGAAGAGTGGTGAGTTCTCATGTATGATTATGAGCCAGAGCTGAGAGTTCTTCTTCCATCGCACGACACCATCCTGGAGAGGTAAGGGCTTCTTGGACATCCTTAGGTATAACAACAGAGGATAACAAAGAGATAAATTGGCGATGGGAAGTGGAAAGGTGAGTCAGTGAAACATAATTAGAAATAGGATGAAGGGTGCAATTGCGCTTACCTTTCTGCAAGGCAATGGGAAGATCAAGATCAGATACCGGGGTCGAGGCTGGTGTGGTAATAGCTGCCGGATCTGTTGACGATGATGAAGCTGGAGGAGGTGTTGGTACATGTGGGCGATGTATATACACGTGATGGATCGGTGGTCGTTCAACAGGTGGTGGCACCGGAGGCAAAGACTTGGGCATTGTGGGAACAAGAGGAACAGAGTCCACAACTGAAAGAGGAAGGGAGATGTGATGAGGAGGAAGAAACATCACTGGACCCCAAGAAGAATGGAGTAGTCTCAAAGAAAGTAACATCAATACATACAAAGGAACGTCGAGAGCTAGGGTGATAACACTTATACCCTTTCAGAATCTGGGAATAGCAAAGGAAGATGCACTTAATAGACCGTGCATCTAACTTGTCCATTCCTGGCCCTAGATTATGAACAAAACAAACACATCCAAAAACTCGAGGAGAGAGAGGAAACAGAGACAAGGTAGGAAACAATGTGGTGAATGGGGAATGACCATCAATGATAGATGTGGGCATCCGGTTAACCAAGAAGCAGGAAGTAAGCACTGCATCACTCCAAAAGGATTTGGGAACATTCATGTGATGCATGAGGGACCGAGCTGTTTTCAAGAGGTGACGATTCTTTCTCTTAGCCACCCCATTTTGTTGTGGGGTGTAGGTACATGTAGTCTGATGGATAATGCCATGTTGGTCTAGGTAGTCCTGAAATGATGAAGAGAGATATTCACGTCCATTATCAGAATGAAAAATTTTAATGTGAACACCAAATTGGTTGCGAATCTCAGCATAAAACTTTTGGAAAATGGTAAACAATTCACTTCTTTCTTTCATTAAATAGAGCCACGCCATCCTTGAATAATCATCAACAAAAATGACAAAATATTTATATCCATTTCATGACATCACTTTATAAGGACCCCAATCATCTGAATGAACCAAAGAAAAAGGACTCAATACATGATTATCAACTCTATGACTAAAGGGAACATAATGATGTTTTCCCAACTGACACAACTCACAATCCAAAACAGAAAGATGACTCAATGAAGGAACCAAAGACTTCAGAGCTTTCAGTGAAGGATGACCAAATCGACAGTGCCACTGGAGAGGAGAGGGACGATTGGAGAGCTGTTGACGTACTTAACCACCATCAAGATAATACAATCCACCAACTTCATGCCCTCTACCAATCTTCATCCTCGTCTTGAGATCCTAAAAAACACACGAAGAGGGGTAAAAGGTAATGGAGCAATTAAGAGACTTGGTCAACTTACTAACAGACATAAGATTAAAAGGAAATTTAGGGACATACAAAACTGAGGATAGGGATACAGGGTTCAGGTCAACATTACCAACACCACAAATGGAGGATGTGGAACCATTAGCAAGGGTAATAGATTGTGATGTTGAGCAATGAGAGAGGGAAGAAAACACATATGGAGTTCCAATCATGTGATAAGGGGCTCTAGAATCAATAATCCAGGGATGGGGTGTGGATGCCAGACAAACCATACCTGAGTGGGCGAGAGTGGCTGTGTTCTGCTGAGATGTGGCTCTCCTGTCTGAAGCTACTGTCATTGGTCACGGCATGATTGGCCCAAGTTGGAGGTGGACCATGCAAGTCATAGCAATAATTGATGGTATGTCCATCCATACCATAGTGCGTACACCTCCTTGGACCCAAACTATGTCCTCTGCCACGGGCTCCCCCTGAATCTTGACCTCTAGTACGATCACCACCACGGTTATATGTAGGGCCACTACCACCACTCCGACCATATGCCGATCCACTACTACGGCCAGGCTGAGCTCCCCAAGCTCCACCTCTAACACCATGGCCTCGATACTGCTATCTATCGGAAATATTAGGGTTCTCGGTAGATCCAATGGAAATCCTCCTAAGTCGAGCAAACACCTCTTCTAAGGAAGGGAGAGCTGACCCTCCTAGTATCTGAGCCTACACTGGTTCATATTCAGACTTCAGCCCCACCAAAAACCGAGTCACATCAAGTTGTTTTCTCTGTTGTTGCTGAATTTTGACATCAGAAGTGAGGGGGTGATAAACATTCAATTCATTACGAATGTTTCTCATACTAGCATAGTACTCCTCAAGATACTGATTACCCTGTTATAGATTAAAGTATTCTTGGTACAGCTGATATACTCTGGTTGTGTTGTTTTGACCCGAATACAGCTTCTTAGGATGGTCCCACACTTCTTTGGCTGTATCAAGGAACGTGAAATTTACACTAATCTTGGGTTCCAAACTATTCCATAACCATGCGATGATTTGTGCATCTGCCTGCTCCCAATCATCGTATTTAGGAGAATCGGTGGAAGGTTTTTCATCCCTTATGTGCTTCCCCTTCTTTTTTGCCTTAAGAAAGACTTCTACAGATTTGGCCCAAGGTACATAATTTTCTCCATTCAGCTTAATGGAGGTCATTTGAATATTCAGGTAGTCAGTAGGGACCATCACGCTAGTCTTTTTATCACTGTTGTCTTCCATTGCTGAATTCGGCAAACTGCACACTAGATCACACTACACCCTGATTTCAGCACTTACTACTGCTGCAAATTGCACTCTTTACACCACAAACCCAACTCCACAACTGCCTGAAACTTCCCAACACTGTTTGAGGAACCCCCCCCTTCGAATCACACTGGAGGGTGCACAAACCCTAGCACACTACAATCTGAAATCCCACCATACAGTCTGAAATAGACTTCTCATTCGATTCACACCAAAAAAATATGCATAAAACCTCTTACCTGATCACCGAAAATCAGATCACACAAGACACCCACTGCACCATACGAATCAGCCCTCTTCTCTTCGTCGATTAGGGGAGGGCTTCTTAGAAACTGCAGCAACCGACTACAAACTCCACAACTGGAGGCATAGAAACCTCCAAGGGAAGAGGGCGGTCACTCTTTTTCAGCCCTGCCCCTTGTCTCTAGCTGATGGCGAAGAAATTAAGAGAAAATCCTTGTCTGGGTGCGCAGATTACAGAATTCTGGGCAGATCCGATTTGCTCAGTTTAGCACTGATACCATGTTAGTGTTCGGTCTGCCTGTTAGACTGATAACAGTCAAGGAAGAGAGAGAGAAGAGAGAAGGAGAGAAAGGAGGAGCAGAAGAGAAACAAGGAGAAAAGATTCTGGTTTGAATGAGAGAAAAAGTTCACTCCCCCATTCGGCCAGATGTATTTTATATTACTAAAATAATGTGGAAAAGTCACATATGCCCCTACTTAAGTTAGGGACATTAAATCTAACATAAACTTACACATCAGCACCCAAACACAAGCACAAAGACAGAATTACCCCTACATACTCGACACTGACACAATTAAAATAAGGAAACACAATTTTTAATCAATGCCATTCCTCGAGGCTAGGACAATTACAGAAATCATCCAGATTTTTTTTAATTGGTTTCAACCACTGTAGTTATTTATTAACAAATCCTTAATTGCTTATAAGGAAGCACATAGGTTGTTTTGAATTAAATTATAAATAAATTTTATGGCAATTTCTTTTTCCTCCCAGCCTTTTCATGAGATATTTAGATTAAATCATCATTGTTCCAGGGATGCATCCACGTGTACTGGTTGATGGTTTTGAGGTTGCAAAGCGAGCAACCCTCCAATTCCTTGAGAAATTTAAAACCCCTGTTGTGATGGGCAATGAACCTGATAAAGAGATTCTTAAAATGGTAGCAAGAACAACACTTAGAACAAAGGTATATTCACTTAATGTACCTCTTATTTCTTGCTGCTTATATTATAAGGAATCCTCCCATTTTTGATTCTTTCCAACCTGTTCTCCTGTATAGTTGTACGAGGCATTGGCAGATCAGTTGACTGAGATAGTTGCTAATGCAGTGAGTACCTTATTTAGTGTATTTTCTATGCATTTTGAGTTCACACTCCTCTTGTCAAGATTTATCTTGAGTGATGAGGGTATGTGAAATAACTTTCTTTAGCATCCTTTCTGAATTAAGTCCATCTTTTTGCACATCTTTGAGACAGTCAATTGCCAAAATTTATTATGTTCGTGCTTAATGAAGCATGTCTTGTATATGAACAGGTTCTCTGTATTCGCAAGCCTGAGGAGCCTATTGATCTATTTATGGTAGAAATTATGCACATGCGCCATAAATTTGATGTTGACACGCGCTTGGTAAGTTTATCCCATTTTTGCTTGAATACGTTCTTCATATACAAGTAAAGTTTGTCCATTTAAACTGATTTCATGAATTTTAGTTTAGGGGTTGTGGCATGATTATCCATTCTGAGCAGTGTTTCAACAGCATGACTTGACTCCCGAAGTCCTGAGGATGCCACTGTAGAATTAGGGCTATGTGGTTAAACAAGGGATGTGTTTTAATAGTTTTATGACATTGGTGCATACAGTTAGGACTGAAGAGGCGCTTTGTAGGGAGTTGGGTCACTTGTTACAAGGTAGCATGTTGGTTGTTAGAAAGTAGAAATAACAAATTTATAAAATGTGTTTAGAAGAGCTGTTGATGTTGATATGGATGATTGGTAAAACTGGAGTGGTGTGCAAAAGTAGAAACAAGCATAGTGGTGATGCTGATGACAGTTGTTTTGTTAGGCATGACAGTGTTGATATAATGATATATGAGTGGGTGTGGATCAAACTAGCAGGATTGGGGAGGATCTTGTCTGTGGAATTAGAGTAGGATGGCCAAAATTGAAGAGTGTGCATCTAGAGTCCTATGTGATGGGAGAATACACAGGCTTAAAGGAAAGTTTTACAGAACAGATTCATCAAAAAAAGGAAGGTTTTATAGAACAGTCATATAGGTCCAACCCTATTGTATGGAGCTAAGTGTGGGCAGTCAAGAAACAATATTTAAAAAATGAGTGTAGCAGAAATACAAATGTTTAGATGGTTGAGTAGGCGAACTAGAAACAAACTTATTCAAAGGAACCTTGGAGTAGCTCCAATAGGGTGATAAGATGAGAAAAAGTAGATTAAGATGGTTTTGTCACCACGTAATGACCACCCTGCTCTAAGTATGGCGCTGTGACACCTATCATCTTATTTGAGATTCACTACTTATGTGGTAAATCTGATTTGGGTTGCCTATTTAATTTAGGAAATTAAATCAAGTATAATTGTACTTGCTGACCTATTTCATCTAAATGAATGAGACCTGCACATTGAAAGTCTTTATGGTGAGTCTTTTGTTTGAATTAGTGAACTGAATTAGAAAGGTTAGTATATGCAGACAAGACCATCTACAATGCCGGGCAGACCAAAAAGGACATGGGTTAAAGTAGCAAGAAATGATTTAGGCTGTGTTTTGTAGTGTGGAATCTCCATGGACCAATTGGCTTCAAAACATGATATTGCCTGTTTGATGTTCATTTGAGGATGCAGCATGTTTTGAAACCCTCCATGAATGACTTCAAAACACAAAATATCACATAGTCTCATCCATGGTAAACTCTATTAGATCCAACCATGCAATTGTGGATTGGTGATGCCACATTGCCACCTACAGTTTTATTTGTTTTGGTGTGGTTGCAACCACACTACAAGTCCCAAAACATTCACTTCTGGTTGCCTGTTTTAAAACACGCCACATAAAAATGCAACAGAGTGCCTCATGGGGTATGCCTTGGTTCAAACCATGTGGTCTTAACCACATCACACCACAGTGGGGCCCAGTGGTTGACACCACACCACACCTCAAAGAGACTGCACTAATAACTAATGACCACCTCCTTAAAGGCCCATAATTTAACCATGGACATGGCGCTGAACAGAGCAGAATGGAAGAACATGATTCATGTAGTCTACCTTATATAGTTGGGTTTAGACTTAGTTGTGTTGTGTTGTCAACCTAAGACTTCTGTTATAGATGGATAACAAGAAAATATACATAAAAAAATTCAAAGATATATTTATAAAAAAACCAAAGATATGAGGGGGCAAAGAAAACATGACCACAAATACAAAATAAACAACACAATTATTAAGGGTGGCCTAGGTGCTGCTCTGCATTTGCTGCCAAAGGCATTTCGTAGCTGGAGAGTAGCCATATCTGCAGCCAAATAGGGGATCTAGTGGAATGAAATGTTCAGTTTGTAATTAAGATGCTGTATATTGAATTCTGTATGAAATATATTTCTATTAGTTCACTTTCTGTGAATGGTTCTATAATTCTCTTCAGTAATTATGAGATGATGAAAACAAGGATCTGTACATGGTTTTAAGCATTTGAAGAGAGTGAAGGCCTCAAAACAATTGTAATCTACCTGAACTGGTGTTAGGATAATTGTTGATAATACATTTTAGGCAAAGAGAAGCAACCGTTTCCACCTCTATTACTATTTAGTTCTTTCCTCTTCACCCATATCCTACTATTTGATTTGTAGATGTAGATATTCTATTTATAATTTTTTACCACTTTGTTATACAACTTATACTGGGAAACATTTCATCTAAGTGCCAGTGGATTGGACTGCCTAAGATGGTATGCTTTTGTACTTCTTGTCCACATTTCAAGGTTTTTCCTGCCTTGCCCTTGTTAAGGCTTTTGAGGTACTTGACTATGTGTGCTTTTTAATTGGAGTTAAAGCATTCAGCAGTTGTTTCCTCTTGATGAGCCCTGTTTGTTTAAAAATCCCTCCATGGGTTCAAAATCCGGATGTGCCACCACCCAATCTAAAATAAGGTGTCTGATCTGATGTCAGCATGCAACATCTAGTTAACTTGCTTTCCATAAAATGTTTTAATTGCTTTATCCCTTAAACTTTAACCTTACTTTTAAATTCTACCATAAATATATGGGTTAAAGCTCTGTTGAGGTGAGCTTTAACTTGCAACATTTAGCAAAATATTGAATGTTATTTTGCTATTGCATAATATATTTCTTTTGATAGTGCAAATCCACAAATAAATTTTTGTATTCTCTTGTGAAGTATATTTATCTTGAAACGCCTTTTCCCACTTAGGTTGAAGGCCTTGTCCTTGATCATGGCTCTAGGCATCCTGATATGAAACGACGGGCAGAAAATTGTTACATCTTGACATGCAATGTATCATTGGAGTATGAGAAGAGGTAACATGTTCATGACACATTTGATTTATGTTTTATTTTTTCATCACAGCTAGCAGCACCTAATTTGGGAAAAGTGAATGTTTTATATGGACTTGGAGTGTAACTAATACTTCCTGCCTCTCAGTGAAATAAATGCAGGCTTTTTCTACTCAAACGCAGAGCAAAGGGAGGCAATGGTTGCTGCTGAAAGACGACAAGTTGATGAGAGAGTTCAAAAGATCATTGATCTGAAAAATAAGGTATATGTATTACAAAAGCAGATGTTTATTTACATGATGTTCTTAATAGAGCTTCAGTTTTATGTATGGCATGTTAAATATTACTTGAATTTCTTTTGTGCAGGTTTGCTCAGGTAATGATAATAACTTTGTTGTAATCAACCAAAAGGGGATTGATCCTCCATCATTGGACCTTCTTGCTAGAGCTGGGGTTAGTTACACATACTTATTCTGCTTTTTTGACATGTGAAAGTAGTGATCATGTTCGGAACATATGATGGGGTTAATTTTCTGATTACGTCAAGCTGGGGTTACCAGTAGGCTGTAGGTATTACATTTGTAGGACTCCAGGAAGGGAGCATTGTTTCCTGATCTTTACTGCAAGAATGTGTTGTTACAAGTAGTTCCCACTTTTTGATAATGTTGGTCGCTCTTTTCTTTTATTAGTTGCAAAATGTAATAGGTTAAGATTGTGTTTACTACTTTCCTGATATTTACTGCAAGAATATGCTGTTACAAGTAGTTCCCCCCTTTTGATAATGTTGAAGTAGTGGGGTGAATAATTACTTGTTTCCTGATTTAATTGAATACAATTTTCATTAAAGTAGTGGGGTGAGCACCTTTAGCACTTCTCAACTCATCCTAGTAGTCAAGGTGGTCTAATCACTAAAGGTCACACTGCCATACGCCTCATGTGGTTGAATAATTACTTTAACACTTTGCCTGACTTAACTGCCTAGGTGAGTGAGGCACTTGTTTGTAGCTACACTTGACAACCCACTATCCTACACAAAAGGACTTGAGTCAATCCTACACCCACAATAAAAATCACTGGGATTAAGATAAGCAAAATTTCTCCTAGTAATATTTTCAATTTTTTTTTTAAAGAAAGTAAAGTAAATTTTATTAGAACAGAACCAAATTACAGAGTACAAGAGGCCCCAAAACCATAAATCTGGGGGCCAAGAAGCCAGAAAACAATACAATTAGAAACTGCCAGCATTCAGCTGGGCGGCCAATACCCTTGGTGGAACCCCTAAAGCAACAGCATTCCAAGAGATTAGTTTTCCAACAATACAGGACAATAGCTGATCCACAGTTTTGTGTTTATCCTGGAAAATTCTTCTGTTTCTTTCAGCCCAAATGGTGCTAATTACAGCCACAGGAATTGAGAACCAGACACTTTTTTCTAACTTAGATAAGCCTCTCTGGTCCCAGCACCACAAAAGGTCCAGAACAGTTGCAGGCATGACCCATGATAGCTGCCTAGAGGAGAGGAAGTGGTTCCAAATTTTATCGGAGATGGGACAATGCAGAAACAGGTGGCTGCTGTCCTCCTCCCCTTGATTACAGAACACACAGGAAGAATCCTGCAGCTGCATACCTCTTCTCTCCAGATTTTTCTTGGTAAGGCACTTATCCAGAGCCACAGCCCAGATCAAAGCATTAAGCTTTAAAGGGACAGTCTGGTTCCAGACTTTATCGGCTGGGAAATCAGCAGATTGATCAGTTGAAAGGATCCTGGCAAACGAAGTAACAGGAACAGACCATCTGTGCTCCATGACCAAACCCAAGAATCTTCTTCTGATAATTCCAGAGACTGATTAGATAACATCTCCAACAGCCCTGAAACTTGATCTAGTTCCCAGTCCTGGAAATGCCTTCTGAAAGAGGGGCCCCAAGGTCCCAAGGGAAGTGTTGTCTCTAACCTCATAGCTGTCAGCAACCAAGGCTTCTTGGTTTTCTGCCATTAGTACACCACATATCCTTCCAGAATTGAATCCTCCGGCCATTCCCCAACTTTACCGAAAGATCATTATTCAATAAAGGGAATACTTCCATGGTTTTCTTCCAAATCGAGCACCCAAGAGAGGTCATGGAGTTGGTAGTAACCCAGTCCCCAATATCTGGGTTATACTTGGCTGCAATTAATCTCCTCCACCCAGCTTCCTCTTTCTCTGTCAAATCTCCAAATCCATTTCCCCAAAAGAGCCTTATTGAAGACCTTCATTTTTCTGATCCCTAGTCCACCTTTGTCTTTTCGAGCACAAACTTGATCCCAGCTAACCAAGTGAATCTTCTTCTCTTCTTCCCACCCTTTCCATAAAAATCCCTCTGCTTCTTGGCATTGGGAAGAGAAACAGAAAATAGGAAGGAAGATTTGATAAAGCACTCTTGAGTAGAGTAATTCTTCCCCCCAGAGAGAGAGATTTGGTCTTCCAACCTGCCAGTTTCCTTTCTAACCTCTCTACCATCGGCTCCCAAATCAGAGAGGAGGTGCATTTAGCCCCCAGAGGAAAACTAAGATAAGTAGTTGGAAGGAATCCAACTTGGCAGGCAAGCACCTCTGCCAGGTTTTCCATATTTTCCACCTTTCCCACTGGAATTAACCTGCTCTTGACCAAGTTGACTTTCATGCCTGAGACTACTTCAAATCAGCACAACACCCCAAGAAGCACCCAATTGCTCCAAATTAGCATCAATGAAGCATAGGGTATCATTAGCAACTTGAAGCAATTGTACCTTTTCTCCACCCGGAGTAGCTTCAAAACCTTGCCATAGGCCCTATTCTCCCACCCTGTTCACAAAGGCAGAGCAAACCTCCGTCACACAAATGAATAGAAGAGAGAGGGGGTCTCCTTGCCGAAGACCTCTAGAACTCTTGAAGAAGCCAGCCAACTGATCATTAACCAAGACTGAAAATTTTGGAGAAGTGGTGCATATTTTAATCCAATTTCTCCATTTTTGTCCGAAATTCATTCTTTCCAGTACAAAATCCAAGCATTTCCAATTCAAGTGATTGTAGGCCTTTTCCAAGTCTAACTTGGACAGCAGCCCAGGTTTTCCTTCCCCTTTCCTTGAATCAATCGGTTCATTAGCCACTAGAACACTGTCCAGCATTTGTCTTCCCCCACAAAAGCGAATTGATTCTTGGCTATCATCGAGTTAAGAACCTTCTTCATTCTTTCAGCCAAAACTTTGGCCAGGATCTTATAGAAGCTGTTCAACAAGCTTATAGGTCTGAAATCCCTCATATTTGTAGCTTCTTCCACCTTCGGAATCAAGGATATGAAAGTAGCATTCAGATTTCTTTCAAGGGCAGCATTAGAATGGAAATCTTGAAACACTTTAAGAAGGTCCACTTTAACTACCTCCCAACACTTATAAAAAATGTTTGTGAGACCATCCTGCCCTGGTGACTTATCCACTTCTAGTTTTTTAATCACTTGCCTTACTTCTTCCTCTGAAAATGGAGCTTCCAACTCTCTTTGTTGTGCTGCTGATAGTTTATTGAAAGGCAGATCTAGGGGGAGAGGTCTCCTTTTCCAACTCTCCTTGAACTAATCTGAGAAGTAGCGGGTTGGTATGTTTTTTAACTCAGTCCAAGATTCTCCCACCTGGCCATCAAACTCCAGCTTTTCGATATGGTTGATTCTTTTCCTTGCATTTACCATCTTGTGAAAGAAGTCAGAGTTTCTATCCCCTGCCTTCAGCCAGCTGATTTTTGATATTTGCCTCCATTTTCAACTCATCCCTGTATGCTAGATTATCAAATACCAGTTTTGCTTCAGACCTTTTCTTCCCTATCTTCTTCAAGTAATGGACCGTTCTCCTTGGCCAAGTCTATTTCTTTGATCAGATCGAGGCAATTTCTCTTTCCAGATTCTGTCTGATCTCTAAATTCCTGCTTCCAAAATTTAAGATAATCTTTAATTGAACTTAACTTCTTTGCCAAGATATAAGAGCTAGAACCCTCAAATTCTAATTCTGTCCACTTTGAAGAAAGTAAAGGCACTAGGTTCTCTTCTTCAAACCAAGCATTCTCCATCTTGAAAGGACATTTTCTGGATCCCTGACCTCCACAACTCAGCTGAATTGGACTATGATCAGAAACAGGCCTTAGAAGGGCCACATGCTTCACTTGCTGACAGGTATCCTCCCAATCCGGTGTGATTAGAAATCTGTCTAGTTTAACCAGAGCTAGGTTCTCTTGATTATTTGTCCAGGTGTATTAACCTCCTAAGCAAGTTATATTTTCAAATTTGCATAAAGTTTTTAGGTGTATAATTTTTCTGACTACTCTAGGTTTTGTGCATTCTATGTGGTTTGCCTTTTTTGAAATCCTATTGGGCTTCTTATCTTTTTTTGGTACCATAGGTGGTTCTATGCAAGGTTCAAAATATCAATGCACCCATTACACATGAACCTTGCATATCGGGTGTTTCCAAGTTACACAAACCTTTATTTTTTTCTTTGGCTTTTTTTCAAAGGTATACAGGGGAAGTATCAGCAGTTACACAAACCTTTATTTTTTTCTTTGGCTTTTTTTCAAAGGTATACAGGGGAAGTATCAGCCTTAGGCCCCTGAAATTAATTGCCAAACCCCCAAAATATATATTATTTAGGCGTATTGGGGTGCTACTGGAACAATGCGATATGCCCGATCCCTGATATGTGATGAAATTTTGAACCTTGGTTCTATCTTGTTTTTGTCCATCTTTATTCTTCTTAGGAACCAGAATAAATGTCTCTTTAGTCAATACATTGGACATTTTTATCTGAGTATATGACAAACTAAATTATTGATATTAATCATATTTTGAAATCCACTTGCTTTTCTTGGTGAGCCTTCTTTCTTCTTTTTCCTTTTTGTTTTATTATATATATTTTACTTTCTTTTTCATTTTAATTTATTAGTTTATTGGCAATAGAAAAATGAAAATTCCTAGTTGTATTACTTCTATCAACAACTTTTTGTTTCTATAGATAGTTGCACTACGTAGAGCTAAGAGGAGAAACATGGAGCGACTAGTCCTGGCCTGTGGTGGGGAGGCTGTAAATTCTGTTGATGATTTGACTCCAGATTGTCTTGGCTGGGCTGGATTAGTTTATGAGCATATCCTTGGAGAAGAGAAATATACATTTGTGGAGAATGTTAAGAACCCTTACTCTTGTACAATTCTAATAAAAGGTATTTGGAGGATTCATTTCTTTTCCCTTCTATGCATTTTTGTCTTGCCGTCTTGCATATCCTAATGAAGTGGCATGGTACATTGCATACAAACAAACCTTTTTTGAATTAAAACATGATGTGCAATATAGGGTTATTGCCACTAATTTTTCATTGGTTTTTGGCTCTTAATAGAGATTTAGAGACAATATTTAATTTTATGGTTGTATTCACAAGTTTCATATTGCTTGACAAATTTTGACATTAATGGAAGAATGAACTAATACCATGGAGTTGAGTCCTTTGACAAGGACCTTAAAATCAGATATCATGCATGGAGTGAAGAAAGGAAATGTAATCTGTGAAATTTGCACATCTTGGTGATAAAATAGCTTAAAGAATATGGATAGTGATGGTAATGGATAAAATAGCTTAAAGAACCAGCATAGGAGAATCCTCTACTCTCTTGCAAAAGAGGAACACAGATAGTAATATTAAGGTTTCAGGCAAAACCTATCAAGCGAGATAAAACTTTTGCTTTGAGTTGTTTCAGAAGACCGTTGGGATAAAGTTAAATATTCCCTCTTCAATATGTTGAAGAATTCCATGGTGAGGAGTCATTACTAACAGTTTGGTTGCATCTAATCTGAAATAGAAAAAAAGGAAACGATAGATGAAGAGAAGTATTACAGTGTCAGAGGAGATGTGAGGGAAGGAGGGAGGTAGGGGTGCAACTCAGGTACCCGATTTGAAGATTTTAACAAAACCCCAACCTGAGTGGCTGAGCCCACCCAACATGTATGTTGATTGAAGTCTAACAAATAAGAAAATAAAAAGAAACTAGTATATAAAATCCACCAAAATGAATATTTTAGTTAAATATCTATTCAAATTATTATTATAATATTAAAAACAAAGAATTTTAAAGTGTTTCATAGTGGCATGTAAAAAATTGGTAGGCGATTAAGCGAGGCAACCATGCATGGGCGCCTTGTTGCCTAGGCGTTGCCTTGACAACTATGCCTCCATCCCCAAGAAATTGCATTATGTCTGTTCAATCTCTAACTCTAGCGGGTATGGGTGGGAAGGTTGGATAATTTACTTTTTATCAAGGTTAGTCCCTTTGCCTTTCAAACATAATTTTTCTTCCATGCAGCAGTGGTGGGCTTAGAAGGGCAGAATAAGAAAATTCATATTTGAAAAGATGGGGAATGAAATAAGAGTTGTAGATTTGTATACCTCGATAGGAGAATATAGGGGGAAAAACAAGTTTCCAATCTGTACATAGAGACAGATTAGAAGACAGGAGAAAGGAGAGGAAGACTTCACAAAGTAACTTATTTTAATATTTTTTTCATAATCAAATTCAGTCATAGACTCGGTGAATTTACAAAACACATGTTTTTATACTTTAAGCTCAGTTTGAGAAGAGTACAAATACAAATATGTACAGTGCAAAGCCATGTATGTTGTATTCTAAACCTTGTATTTGCACTGTAGATTTTTGTATTTGTAATCTTCCCAATCTGAGAGGAAGAAGGATTCACCAGCCCACTTTCCTACTTAAAATGAGACTCAAAGAAATAGAAAACCTAAATTTAATCTCTTCGTCCATTGATATTCTGATTCTCTTGATCTTGTTGGATGGATAACTCAAAAACCTTCAGGAGTCAACAAAATCAAGTAAAATAGACAAATTTTGACATTTGAAAAAGGGTCCTAAACAAAAGTGACATGTTCCAAATCAAGGTTGAAGTCAAATGATCGACCCAGTGTTTTAAAAGCAACGAGTCCAAGGCACAATGTGAGTTTTGTGCCTGAACAAAGTGAGACGCCTTTTCTGAAAAAAATGGAAAGGAAAATATACAAGAATATGCAATTCTAAATTCTTTTTTTTTTTTTTTTTTGGAAAAGGTAAAGTAATATTTATTGAGAATGAAATACACACTGGAGGCTGAGATCAGTCCCAAAACAGGCTGACTGATCTAAACAGCGATTACACAAGCCATCAAGACAAGGAAAAAAATACATCTGATACATTACAGTTTCTAAAATCTGCCACCACAGACAACCAGGAAATCAGTTTGCCCACTAACTTCTGGGTTAGGTCCTCCAGACTTAGAAACTTGTTGCTGAACACCCTTCTATTCCTCTCGGTCCAGATACACCACATTACAGCACTTGGGATTATTTTCCATAAAGTCTCCTTTTTCTTGCTCCAGCCCACAATATGCCAGCAGCATAACAGCTCTTTTACCGACCTTGGCATCACCCAACAAACCTTCAAGGACTTGAGGAGGTGGTTCCACAACTGAGCCGAGAACAGGCAGTGTAAACACAGATGATCAGTAGATTCAGCACTGCACCCACATAAGCTGCAAGACTGGTCCAAAATCTGAATTCCCCTGCTTACAAGGTTCTCCTTAGAAAGGTGTTTGTTAAGAGCCATAGTCCAAACAAGGAAACTGGCTTTAGTCGGACTGATAGGATTCCACACTTGCTGAACTGGGAAATCAGGAATACCCCTCCTACCAAGCCTAGCCGCCAAAGATTTAACAGAGAATATCCTGTCAGGATTCCACTTCCAATGCCACTTATCCTCCATACTAAAGTCCATCTCTTGATGCTGGAGACAGGTCAAAAGATTCACTGCCTCATCCACCTCCCAATCAAAGAGATTTCTTTGGAAAGAGGGATTCCAAAGAACAGAACCACCAGAAATACTATAGCACTCAGCAACTGAGGCCTCTTGGTCTGAAGCACACTGGAAGATGAGAGGGAAGGACTCAGCAAGAGGAACATCTGAGCACCAAGGGTCCTTCCAGGATTTGATCCTATTACCATTACCAGCCCTGACTGAGATCCCCCTGTCCAACTCTGGAAAGTGCTTCATTATCCCCTTCCACAGAGAGTTACCTCAGTTAGGAGGGGGTTCCCTAGATCTCCAATTTCCCCAGCTCACACCATATTTGCTAGCTATGAGATATCTCCACCAAGCATTAGATTCTACAGCAAATCTCCAAATCCATTTACATGGGAGGGCAGAGTTAAAATATTTCAGCTTCGTTATACCTAACCCCCCTTCAGATTTGGGGAGACAGACTTGTTCCCAACTCACCAAGTGCACTTTTTTCTCCTCCTCCCAGCCTCTCCAAAGGAAATTCCGTCGAAGCTTTTCAATCTGATTTGCCACCCTCTTAGGAATAGAGAAAAGAGATAGGAAGTAGGTAGGCAAATTGGAGAGAGTACTCTTAATCAGAGTCACCCTCCCCCCAAAAGAAAGGTATGCAATTCTAAATTCTAAAAGAAATAACAATACTTTAAAAATCATATTTTTGATGTGTTGTTGTAGTTATGGCTGCTGGAATTTCAGTAGTTACAACAATATAAATGCTATTGAAATAAATGATTCGTAGAACCTTAGACATTTAGAAGTAGGCCCAAAAGATTGATTGGAAATTTTCATAATTTAAAGGGAAGATACAGACCATTGAAACATGTGCAAGCAAAACACAATAAAAATTATTGTCTTTTATTTATATGATTTTTATTGTCTTTAATGCACACATAAAATTAAATAGTTATCTGATTCTCATGCCTTATTTGATGTTCCAGGACCTAATGACCATACGATTGCTCAGATTAAGGATGCTGTTCGCGATGGTCTGAGAGCGGTCAAGAATACAATTGAGGACGAAGCAGTTATATTGGTGAGCTTTCATCTTTCAATTTCCTGTAATGTTTTAATCACACTTGACCTCTATGCTTCAAAGTCACATTGAAATCACTGCCTATAAGCCAAGGACCTGACCAACTGCTTCTCAGTTCATTGAGTTCCTCCCACAATAAAGGCTTTAGAGAAGAGTCAGTGGGACCATACACAGAAGTTATGACAATAGAAATATCCAAATGCAAGCCAAAGAGCTTCATCAAGATGGAAAACATACCTTCCTTTTTGTCCATCAATCTAAAAGAAGAATTATTCTAGATGATTGCTATACCACCTGTTGCATTCACTGCCAGAATGTAAAGCCAGTCACAAGGTTGAAAGCCCCATACACTTTGAATAACTGGGAAATCCACCCTTTGTAGTTTTGTCTCTTGCAATAACAATACATCTGGATTCTTGTCTTTTATGAAATCTGCAACCACCATCCTCCTTCCAGAAGCTAAGCCCCTGACGCTCCAAGTTAACAGTTAATACCTTGGTGCTCTCAACGATCAACGATTGGCAGATCTGCTTTTCCTTCCCAAACTGCCTTCTCCCTCATTCAGTAGTCCCTAAGCCTACCTTAAAAGTTCCTTCAAAACTTAAACAATTAACAATCAGATACCTGTTCTCCAAGGCAACCAAAAGAGCTTTCGTTTCTTCTTCTTCCATTCCCTTTATTGACACCCCCAGAAACTCTCCAAAACTTAACAGTTTAGACAAAACCCACTAAGGGACCTCATTATCTTGTAGTTACCTCAGCTGAATCATTCGAGGAGGTGTTTTCTCTGCCTGCAGATCCCTCATCACAGCCAGTGGTTCTAGGCCTGTCTCATTTTGGCTACCATTTTGTCCTTCTGGGAAGCCTTTCCCTACCTCTGTACCCATAGCTACCAATGCTTTTTGCAAATTCGACCCGACAACTAATGGAGTGGTTTTTGTCCTCTCTGGTTCCCTAGTGAGGTCTTGTGGAGAACTTGGGCTCGGTTGATTGTGATCTCCCTTCATCTGTCATTGCTACCTCTGATTCCTTGTCACCTCTCCTTGATGTCTCGCCCCCCCGGGATGAGCTGGTTGATGACGACAATGATGATCAAACCTCCTTTGCAGGAATCTTGCCTTTGCCTTGAATGGGAGCAGGTGGGGACTGAATCCTGTTTTCCAAAATTCTTGTCGCACTTGGAAAACTGACTAGACTCACCTTATCTAGTCCCCGCCTTCTGTTCCTTAGGCCTGGCCCTGGCGTTGCTGACTCTAACCTGCTGGGTCGGATCCACTACCATGAATGCCCAAACTAGATTTAACCCGCACCGCTACTGAATCCATGAGGTTGTGTAATAAACTTTCATCAAACACCTTGTGATTTTCCCTGCTTGAAATTTGGAAAGGACCATTTTGAAATTCAAATCTTGACCTTGAGCCTTGATCATCGGATTTGGTGGGGGATCTAAGGGATTTTTCTTGGCCACGTTGGCCTTTCTTCCTTCTGCTGACCAAACACCAACTCCTATTGTCTCCCTCTTCACCGGCTGGGGAGACTCCCACAGCTTCTTTATCCAGTATTCCTGGTGGAGGATTAATCAAATCAAATTTTTTCTCTTCCATCTTCTTCTATTGACCACCCCGCCAGCCTCCACTGAGCCAGCTATTCTCCCACAACTATTGCCTCCCGGAAGTCCTCTGGAATTGCAAGTTTTTCTGCTTTATCTCTGGTCATAGGGTAACTACATACTACATAGAAGGCCTCACTGTCCATCACATTCACTGTTGGAGGTGGGACTCCTAACCATTTCACCTTTAAACACGCATTCGCTGGACCAACAATACTCAGATTCATCCACCACCAAGAAACCTCCGCAGAGATCCAATCCTCTGTACAATTTCGGAGCTCAACAAATCAAGAGGGAGACCAAAAACACAGATGCAACGATGATCAGGGACATCCAATGCCTTTGACCAAGTTTCGTATCTCTCCAACCAGGGTTCTAAATGAAGGAACACCCCATAGAAATTTCTAAACCTCATGTGCAGATTCTTAGCCTCTCTGCTGGTTATTGGAGGATAAATAGCCACCATTTATCATTCATATGTCTCACCCCTACTGCTTGGATTGATTGACAAACCTCCTTTGCCCATTAGCTGATATCATTTCCATCTAAATCATCCCTGGTGAAGCATCCCACCAAACAACCATGAAGGAAAGTCCTTTCTTGAACTCCTTTCCCCTCTGCTTCCAAGAAAAAGTGGTGAAGGTTTGCCTTCAGTTGTGCAAGTTCCACCGGAAGGCCAAACTCCCCAATCCCAATCTTGGCTATTACTGAAATACTGCCTGTGCTCTTTAGAGACAAGCTTCCCTACTTTCTAATTCTTTCCTTTCCTCTGTCTTGTCCCCTCCTTGTCTTCTCCTTGTAGGGAAGCTCCTCAATTCCTGTTCTTATTCCTTTGATTGAAACTCTGGCGACCATGGTGGCATGGCCTCCTGATCTTGTTAGGATGCAGTCCTGCATTCTACCTTCCATCTCTGTGCAGCTTTAAAAACAGAGTGACATCGTGGTTACCATTGGCCAGGACTTTCATGGTTACCATCGGCAGGAATTTAAAAGGGCAAACTACTTTTTATAAAAGTATTCTTATTATATAAAAGTACTTTTATATAAAAAGTCATTTTATAAAAATACTTTTATCAAAGTGCTTCCATATAAAGTACTTTTATAAAATGCACTTTCATAAATCTTATAAAGATACTTTTACAAAAATACTTTTATATAAAAAGTACTTTTTTTATAAAGCACTCTGTTGGCTCTATTTGAACTTGTTTTATACTTTTATAAATAAATATTTTTATATAAAATGCTTTTATAAAATTATAAAAGTACTTTAATAAATGCAAATTGGCTGGATTCGATGTGTTCAATATATCTCGATGAGTCTCTCTCTCTCTCTCTCTCTCTCTTCAAACACACAGTTGGGAACAAGAGAATTAATTAAATCACAAGCAAAAGGCTGAAAGACTACTGGATTACAAGACATCTTTATTTTTGTGGGTTTATTTATTTATTTTACTTGGTTTGTGGTTCAGGGTGCAGGGGCTTTTGAAGTTGCAGCTAGACAGTATCTAGTCAATGAAGTAAAGAAAACTGTTCAAGGGGTAACATTTGGCCTTTTTCCTAATTCCATGTCCAGAAAAAAATGTTTTTTTCTGATTGGTTCTTAGAAAATAAAACAGTTATTGTGGTTTTCTTTTCTTAACATTGGTGGCATTTGTCATATTTGATCAGCGTGCACAACTTGGTGTGGAGGCATTTGCTGATGCCCTTCTTGTTGTTCCCAAGACATTGGCAGAGAACTCCGGCCTTGACACTCAAGATGTCATCATTGCACTTACGGTACAGTCCTATGGTGCTTAATCTGCTTTCCAAGAAGTGAAGATTCAAGTCAGCAGATCTGTAATCTATGTTTACCATCTTTGATGTCTTTTAGGGAGAGCATGACAGGGGGAACATTGTGGGGTTGAACCAGCATACAGGAGAGCCAATTGACCCCCAAATGGAGGGTATATTTGACAACTACTCTGTTAAGCGCCAAATCATTAACTCAGCGTATGTAAAACTAATTACTTCAAATCGGAACCTTTTTTTTTTAATGTATTTTCAACTTTAAGCCCATAACGGGTGATTCTTTGTTTTGCAGACCTGTTATTGCTTCCCAATTGCTACTGGTGGATGAAGTAATTCGTGCTGGTCGAAATATGAGGAAACCAAATTAGCTCCTACGTGCTTCTATTGCATATATTGTCATTTGGCTTGACAGACCTTTGGTTCCTGCCTTCCTGGACTGCTTCAGAATTGGAGTTTTGTCGTCCAAAAAGTTTTGCTGGATTCTTAATACAGGGTTGTCTTGGGATTTTGAAGTGGCTGTACAATGAATATTCCTTGGTCTTGTGTTTTCAGTAGTGTAACTTGTTTGCTTCAGTGTGTGGAGCTTCTTGTGAGAGCTTGCCTTGGTATTTGTCCTGTGGCCTTTGAACAAATTCCGACAACTGAGCGACAGATGGAAGCAGCGAATGTAATTGTGAAAGAAAGGGCCAAATTAGTTTGCCGACTCTTACTAGAATTTTTAGTTTTGAAACGCCATTTTCAACCTATTATTCAAACACCTGTTTTGTATATTTTCGGTATTATTAGACAGGTAAATAGGTTACTGGTTAAGGGCCCTGAGGCAATGGGACTCCTGAATTAAACATCAAAGGATCCAATGATAATAGGATCCATGTAAATAAACGAAGTATTGGTTAGGCTTTCTAAGATCTTTCCAAGTTTGAAAAATCAAAAGGTTTTAAGCTTCCAATACGATGCAACTTGGAGAGTGTATTTACTTTCCAAACGCTTGTTTTTGGTCACATGACAACCGTAAATGATCAAAGAGTATCTAGTTGCTTAGAACTGTCAAATGAATCAGAGGGATTTTCAGATTTCAGAATGCAAGTCCAAAGCAAGAAATCTGAAAATCCTAGTGTTGGCCTTTTTTGAGCTTTAGTTTTCTACTGCTCCGTTGCTTTGAAAGAACATCTCAACAAACAACAGAAGATCTTTATTTATGGCTTTTCGAAAGTCTGACTTTTCTAAATAAATAGGGCTAAATACTGCAAATTCAACTTTTTGAGTGTTACGATCATCTTACAAGTTACAAATAGGGTGTCAGTTTATCATAGGGATGTATGTTTCTCTTTTTGGGCTATTCGGACTTGTTTTTGGTAATATGGTTTGTTTAGTTGTAGTAAGAGTGTAAGAGTAGCAACAAGTCAGTAACTACTAGGCTATTAGATTTGTCTGAGTTTAAAAGTCCTTGTTTGAGTATCCTGGATGGTTTTGTCATGGATTTGTCTTAGCTTTGAACAATAAGTTATTATGGCTTTATTTCCTGGTTTAGGTTGGAGCCTAAGTGATAATACCTTTATAGATTAGTCATTATAGTTGAAACAGAGGTCTGGTTCTCAAGTTATTGGCATGTGAGACAGGTGGATTGCTCAATGTTAAATGTGTAATTTAAAGTTATTCATTGATATCTCCAGCCCTTTTAATTCAGTATTTGGAGTAAGCAATTAGTAAATTTTCTGACACGTGCTCGTAGAATACCCTCAACCTACCCTTGAAAAGATTAGTAACTGTGCACATGCTTTGTTTTGCACGTGACAATTTTAGATGATGATGATGATAAGGAATAATATATTTTTAAATTTTTTTATATATAAAATAATTCATATTTGTCACATTTATTTTTATTTAATATGATGAGTATATGATATTAGAAATGTGTCGAAGCGTTTCCTACAAAATTTGTGCATTTTTGTTTAGTACAAAGATTTTTTTTAATCTTTTTTTTTTATTTTTTTTATTTAACTATAGCATTAAAGGTTCACACATTTAACCTGAAAGGTTGACTACTGACTTTCCACCACATAGGAAATAATATTACTTTTGGGTTAGTTTCAAATTTTGTATTTCATTTTCATCACTAATAAAAGCATTTCTTGTTTATCACATTTATTTTTCTTAATATGATTAATATAAAATATTAGAGATATATCCAAATGTTTTCTACAATTTTCTTTATATTTTTTATAAATTTTAGCATTTTTATATTTTATATTTTTCTTATTTAATTATGATATCAAGAGTTGGCACATTTAACCTGAAAGGTTGAATTGTTGACCGCAACCATATAGGAAAATAATTTCATTTTTAGGTTGGTTTTAAGTTATATTTTTTATTTCCATCAATATAAAACATTAGTGAATTTTTCCATTTCTCATATTTTTTGTGTTTTTGTCATTTTTTAATTTTATTATTAAATTCTAACATCAAGGGTTGACACATTTGACCCAAAAGGTTGAATTGTTGACCCTGATTTATACTTATTTTATTTTTGTTTAATATGAATTTGTATTTTATACTAATTTTTATTATTTATTTATTTTTTCATTTCCAACATCAATAAAAAAAATTATTATTTAAAATGATTATATGATTAATACAAAATATGAAATATGTACCCAATTTTTTTCTACATTTTTTATTTTTTTTTTATAATTTTATAATTATTTCTGCCTTAAAAATTTTATTATTTAACTATAATATCATGAGTTGATCTATTTGACTTAGATGGTTGAATTGCTTAACTATAACCATGATGAAAAGTGGTTTCTTTTAGGTGGTTTTAAAAAGTATTGTATACTAAGTATTGGATATAGATCTAATTGATAGGATTTATTAGTGAGAAAAATACCTTAAATATAAGATTTAATGAGAGAGAATAGAAATTAGTACCTTAAATATAAGACTTAATGAGAGAGAGTTGAATGAGGTTAAACAAAATAGTTCAAATTACATCTTTTGGATGGAATTCAAAAATAGGGTTATTTTAGTCAAGAATAAGATTGGATGGATGATAATTGGTATTAATACCTTAAATATAAGATTTAATGAGAAGAGATTAAATGGGGTAAAAAGTAGTGGTTCAATTACATTTTATTCCATCACAATTAGAGAGGGACCAATTTAAAAAGTAAGGGTCATTTAGGCAAAGAAAAGTTCTACACTTTCATTTGTACTTTTAATAGTAGTATACATATAGATTAGAGGCAAATTTTGATACAACTAATATTTATTGATTGCTCATTGAGTGTGCTTACAATGATGTCCCTACTAGACAAGGTTTTAAAAACTAACCCAGAAACGGAACCGTTCTAGCTATCGGTTTCCGGGTTGGTGGTTCGATCGTTCGGGTCGAATGGTTCAGACGGTTTGCATATTAGGGCAAATATTTTATATGAGATTTGAGAAAGGAGAACTGGAGAAGAGATGTTGTTGGCTAAGAAAGGAAAAAAGAAAGAAGAAAAGAAAGAAAGAAAGAAAGGAAGAGAAAGGAAAGGAAGGAGGGAAGAAGAAGGAAGAGGAGGAGGATGGTTCGATGCTCACCGGCGACGATAATGGTGATGGTGACGACAACAAACACAGATCTGAGTTCTCAGGTCTGAGATCTGAGATCTAAGATTTGAGTTCTTGGATCTCAGATCTCAGATATGAGATTCTCTGCAACATCTATGATCTTCTTCTTCCTCAGATCTGAGATCTGAGTTTGTGTGTTTCTCTCCTGCAACTTTATACTACAAACCGCTGTCCGGGTCAAACGAATTGATGGTTCGACCGCCTAGGTCAGCGGTTTTCTGATGAAGTCAACGGTTTTTGACCCAGGAACAGGTTAGAGGTGAAACGGAACCGATTGCTTAGATAGTTTCCGGGCCAAATATTATTATATTGAAAACCCATTCTTAATGTGAGGGATTAAGAATTTTGTGAGTGTATCCATGTAGTTCATAATTGTAATAAAAAACTATTAAAACATGATTTCCTATGTAATTTATACTTATAGTCATTTAAGTCTTAAACTTAGTGTTATTAATGCATTTGTAGCATGGTTCAAAGTATCAATATGCGGTGATGTCGCAAATCAAGCCCAGGTTGGATTTCCACGTGGATGAATAGGGAAATTACAGCTGACTGAGCCGAGGAAGACTGCGTGGCATGAGCTTGGATGAGTTGTGATGTGACACACTCCCATATGACCGAAGGGCTAACCTTGGTGCATGTTGCAATCCTCAAATGAGGTGGGGACACGTGGTGAACACTGGCCAAGGCCCAACAACCACCAAAATCGATACTAACTCTTTTGAGCATGGTTTTTAAAACCGACTTGGAGACCGAACCGGTCAGGGGTCCAGTTATCGGGTCAAACAGTTCAACTGTTCGAACCGAACGCTCAGCCCGTTCCGACAAAAAAATAAAAAATAATAAAAAACGGTCAAAACCGTTTAAACGGTTCGAACAATTAACCGCCTAATTCAGCGGTTTGCTGACCAAAATCAATGATTTTGAGGGAAGATCCAATTTTTAGGAAAAACAGACCGGTTCCCGGTTTTTTGGTCCAATCGTCCGATCCGATCCGATTTTGAAAACCATGCTTTTGAGCTCCTTGCCCTATTCTTCCCTGAATGTACATCACACGCTCTTAATGGTTCAAAACTCTCGATGCACAACTTTTAAGTATGCAAGTATCATACTTTAATTGTGTTTTAATTCGCTAATAGTAGCTTTGCATTAAGGATAGAGAATCCTTGACTGAACTCCATTAAATGTAGACTATCTATTTTTGTATTTTATAATGGCTCGTTGAACCATGATTTTATTTATGAATCATGGGGTTTATATGAATTTTCCTCGTCAACGGGTTCAAATCAGCCCTTAGTTTCCCACAATCGTCTCACAGGTCACAGCACATTCCGCCGTGTATTGAAAACATACTTATCATCGAAAGATCAATACACGTCTCACAGGTCACAGGTCACAGCACATTCCGCCATGATGACATGGGAACATGCATATGTCATTTCATTATACATTGGGAATATCTCGCCATGAATGATGACATGGGGAATGAGAGATCAAAACTTCGAAGATGCTGATATTTTGAACTTTAAAGATCACTGATCTAATTGAAATTTTAAAAGGAACTAAGAAAACAAAAGTTTATTTTGATGTTATTTGTTGGTAAGAGAATGACTTTTTTTTTTTTTGCCTTTTCATCTTAAACATACTTTTTTATCTTTTTCTTTCTTTTTCTCCTCTCCTTAAAGAATTGTTCAATAGGAATATCAGGATGGCCAAACAAAACAACAGTCTACTGTGTTATAGGCTCCCCATGACTGATATGATCTAAGCTGTCAGTCTCATGAATGCCTCTATGTGTCTACATCAGCCTTTGGAAATGAAAACGTATTTTTAACTGATCAAAAAAAAAAAAAAATGAAAACGTATTTTTGTTTTCTGAAGCATCTTTTTTTATTGGTTTGAAAAAAAAATATTCTGACTTCGTTTTGGAAAAACGCACGCCCAAGGACACGTTTTTGTTTTTTTTCTTCTGTAGTGCCAATTTCCTGAAAGAAGAAAAATAAGAGCATTGTTGGGAATGTTTCCCAACAATGCTAGACATTTCCTCTTTTGCTCCTACATTAGACTAATGAATTCAATGATTAAAGTTGAGGAACATGAACATTGGAATGCGATGTTTGATGGGACATGGAGCATCAAGGAAAAAAAACAGAAATATTTCTAGACATTGTCCTCTTCATTCCATGGTACACAACTTTTTCAACATTTGCACTGGGCCACTGGTGGAGAATTCTTGTAATTGGTCCCGAATTAATTGGTGTTAGAAAAACAACGCACTCAAGCTTATGTAGATCCCTTTCCTTCCTGTTGAAGCATGTATTCTTTCTTCATTTCTTCCAGTACAGAGTCATTGGTGCTGCCAAGAAAAATGAGGAAAGCATAGTTATCTATAGTCTAGTATACTTTTCTGAAGTACTTTCATATATTCAACTAAAGAAAGCTTTAACTGGTTCACTAGCTATCAATGATGTAAGATTACATATCTTGTTGGTTTTCTCTAATACTACCCTTTTCCATTACATCATTTTGTTGGAAGAAAGCATAAAAAATTACAATGTACTAGTACACAAAAGCAATCACACACTCTCTCTCTAAACAAAAAATTTGATGTAATTTTGAAATTTGTTGAAGATTAATCAGTTTTATGTTGTTTTTCTGAGTAGATGTTTTATGTTAGTTGTTGGATAGGAGGTGGGGACCACAGTAGTTATGTGAGTCCAAATTTTATTATGTTTTTGAGTCTTATATATGCTGTTTTCATGTTATGCCGCCCTATAAGGGCATAGTTGTCTTTGTACTGCTTTATTATTTTTAGTATAAATAATAAGTGAAGGGGGCGGCCAAATCATTGCTCTCTTTTCTTTTCAAAGATCTCTCATTCTCTTCTTCTTCTCTCTTCTTTCTCTCTTCAAGAAACCCTTTTCTGTTCATATATTTGATTTCATCAGATTTCTACTTGGTATCAGAGCACCGGCTAGGGTTCTTGAAGCATTCTCATGCAGCCCTAAATCAGCTGACTGCATGAAGCAACAAAGGGTTGATCGATCTGCTATATATTGCCCAGTTCTTGGATTTTTTGGTGGGATCTAATCATCAGGAAGGTGATCTACTGTTCAACATCAAAATCAAGAAGAACTGGAGTACGAGGAAGAGTCCCAGAAAAGTTGGACTCTTTGTTTTTGATATGATCTTGGGCACCCAGGTATTGTTAGTTTTCTTTTGTTATTCTGAAGAGGGTGGTTAAGTTTCTAGAATTTTCTGAGCCTCCTAGAGTGATCAATTCACTCTTCTCTCTGTTGGGAGGCGTGGGATGGAGAGAGATTTCTCTCCGGATAGGGTTTTCTTCTTCTAGAAGGGTTGCTTTCTATGTGTGTGATATTAAATTGCTTTTGGAAGATCTCCAATCTATTTTTTCTTACTGTTGAACTGTTTGAAGTAAGATGGAGAGTTGGAGTACCAAGGTGAAATCCACCGATACCGTGGGACTGGGTGTTGGAGGTAGTAGTGATATTTTTTGGTTTAGAATCATTACTATAGTAAAACTTGATGGTACAAATTATTTCAAGTGGGCACAATCAGCCAAGATGGCTATTGGTGCCCATGAAAACTTAGGATACATCATTGGGGAGGAGAAGAAACCTGATACAAATTCTTCCCGATGGGTGCAGGAGAATTACATGGTAATTGTTGAGTGGCCCGGTTTTGTTTTAGTTTGTTTTTATTTAGTTAGGAAGTTGTTGGGCCTAGGCCCATTAGTTTATATTTTTTTAAAGTTGTGACTATTCAGTTTTAGTAGCCACCCTACTAAGGGCATCCTTGTAATATCTCATCTTTAAGTTAAATATAAATATAATGAGAGGTAGGCGGCTGGGGTTAACTTTTCTCACAATCTTAGTTGACCTCCTACTCTTTTCTTCTTCTCATTCATTCTCTACTGCTGAAATCTTCACCTTCCCCCTCTTTCTTTCACAAGAAGCTTGACTGAATCAACAAATAGTGATTTCTACTTGGTATCGGAGCAGGTCGAAGGTTCTTGAAGTTGTTCTCCCATGCAACCCTAGATCGGCCGACTGCATGGTGATTTAAGAGGCTGATTGAAGCTCTCAAGTAAGCCCAATTTTTGGATTTTCTTGATGGATCTGTGTGCCCTATAGCTGGTCTAGGGTTTCTCATCAGAATTAGGAAAAACTGGAGAAAGGGTAAGAGTCCTGTTTTTGTTGGACTCTTCATTTTTGACCTAGGAAGTGGCGCCCTAATTTTTTTAGGGTTCCTTGGAGTTTTTTGTAAGGGGCGGTTCAAGTCCTGCCTGGTTTGGAGGCTTCTAGAGAGGCGGCTGCCTCTTTTCTCTCTTCTCCCATCCCACAGAAAAGGAATCTTTTGTGGGAAGAAAGTCCAAGACACCAAGAAAGTGTTGTTGGTTCCAAAAGGTGTCTTGTTTGATCTTGCTGCAATTTTTAGTTATTTTCTTTATCTTTTTTGAGAAGCATGGAGGGCCACAAAGTTGAAAATAAGCCTGGGAGTGAAATGAGACCAGTGGGAGGAGGTGCTGGAGACCCCTTCGGGGCTAGGACCATTACTACAATTAGGTTGGATGGTGCAAATTACTTGGAATGGTTATAATCTTCAAAGATGGTCATTGGTGCTCATGGGAAATTAGGGTATATCACTGGTGAAGAGGTGAAACCTGAAAGTAGCAACTCCTAGTGGGTGTAGGAGAATTATATGGTGATGACTTGGTTGTGTAATTCCATGTTGCCACATATAAGTAAAAATCTTTTATGGGCAAATGCAGCCAAGGAGATATGGGATGGGGTTGCAGAAACTTATTCACAGAGGGAGAATGTTGCTAGGGCTTATCAACTGAGAAATCAGATTATTGCTACAAGACAGGGAGATAGATCTGTTGCAGCCTATTTTTCAGTCCTTAAAACCCTGTGGCAGGAGATTGACCATTTAGAGACATTTGCTTGGAAAACCACTAAGGATGCAACTACCTATCAGAAACATCTAGAGAAGTACAGGGTGTTTGAATTCCTTGCTGGCCTTAATCCTGAGTATGATATTGCACGACATCTTCTTTCCAGGGACAATGTCCCTCTCTCCCAAGCATATGCCTTTGTGTCAGGGGAGGAGTGCAGGAGGGATGTGATGATGAAAAACCTCATTTCTGATCAGTCTGCTATGGTAAGTGTTTGAAACCTAAACAAAGTGGTAGTGAAATCAAGAAAGAAGACAAAAGAGATCTGACCTGTGACTACTGTAAGAAGCCTAAACATACAAGAGATACTTGCTGGAAGCTTCACCCACATCTTGTGCCGGATAGATTGAAAAATAAGAAGGGAAATGCACACATGGCAGTTACTGGTGACACTCCGGCCCCTCCTACTACAACTACTCTGGAGTCTGTTGCAACTGCTGCAGTAAGGGCCGAACTTGAGAGGTATGGGCTACTTCTGAACCAGYGGGATACAGCCAGTTCCAGTTCAACCGCAAGCGGACAACAAGGTACAGGTGGCACTGGTGGAGTCCACTCTACCTCCTTTGCTCACACAGGTAGTTCACACGCCACTGCAAATTATGTTTCCACTTCAGGTAAGGAGGGACCCCCTTGGATTATAGATTCTAGAGCCTCAGAGCATATGACCAATAGCTCCACTATTTTTTCTTCTTACCAGTTCTATTCTAGCAGAGACAGGGTCTCCACAACTGATGGATCCCATGTTCCTATTGCTGGGAAGGGATCTGTCAAGATTAGTGATTCTATTTGTCTATCCTCTGTCCTTCATGTTCTCAGATTGAGTACTAATTTGTTATCTGTTAGTAGTTTGACTAAGAACCGGAACTGCTTAGTAATTTTTTCTCCTGGACGTTGTATTTTGCAGGATCTGGATTCAAAGAGGACGATTGTGAGTGGTCGTGAAGTGAATGGAATCTACCTCCTGGATGTACTTCCTCCTCATCAGAGTCATCATGTCAGCAGGGATAGTGAGTCAGGATCTGTGAGTCAAATTATGCTTTGGCATAATCGTTTGGGTCATTTACCTTTTTCTTCTTTGAGTTCTTTGTTCACAAAACTTTTTGAGTCTGTTAGTCTGTCAAGTTTGGAGTGTGAAGTTGCCAACTTGGAAAGCATTGTAGACATTCATTTAAACTTAGTAATAAAAGATGTTTTTCTTCTTTTGATGTTATTCATTTGGAGGTGTGGGGCCCTTACCATGTTCCTTCTATGGGAGGCTATCGCTATTTTTTCTTATTTGTGGATGATTTCTCTCGATACTCTTGGATTTACTTGATGAAATCCCACGATGAGGTACCATCCTTGGTGAGGCAATTTCATTAGATGGTACTAACACAGTTTGGAACAAGAATAAAGGTGTTTAGATCTGACAATGCCAGGGAATATTTTGAAAGACATCTTGCCTCATATCTGTTAGAATATGATGTTGTCCATCAGAGCGGTTGCCCCTACAGTCCACAGCAGAATGGTGTTGTAGAAAGGAAGAACAAACACATTGCTAAGACTGCAAGAAGCATGATGATCACATCTACAGTTCTGGTTCGGTTTTGGGGTGATGCAGTTCTCACAACAGTATATCTGATTAACAAGGTGCTCTCTCGTATACTTGGATTCAACACTCCATTCAGTCTTCTTTTTCCTCAGGGAGAGATGTTTCATATTCCTCTCAGGGTGTTTGGGTGTGTTTGCTTTGCACATATACTTGGTCCTCACCGCTCGAAACTTGATCCCAAGGCAAAGAAGTGTCTTCCTTGGATATGCAGAGAATCAGAAAGGGTACTGCTGTTATGATCCAGTCTCTGGGAGCCGATACGTTACCATGGATGCCACCTTTTTTGAATCCACGTACTTTTCTCAAAGAATCCTTCTCAGGGGGAGTGTTTTGGGGAAGTAAGTTAGCAATCTATTCCTCTCCCAGTTCCAGTCCCTGTGTCTACTCCTGTGCTTGACCACCACCCTGTGGCACCTACCTTGCCACTTCCTTTGCATTCTGCTTCTCAGCATTACTCACGACAAAGACTTCACAAGGCGGTTGATTCTACTACAGCAGAACTCACACCACTTCCTGTCGATCCTTTGGAGACTCCAGATTCGGATGACATGGATTCAGGTATTCCTCTTGGTCCCGCTACTATTTTAGTTCCCATTGATCCTACTAACTCTGTTATAGATAACATTGATCTTCCTATTGCTCTCAGAAAAGGGAAGAGAAAATGTACTGCTCATTGTATTTCACAGTACTTATCCTACAGTGAACTTTCTGCTTCCTACCGTGCTTTTCTCTCCTCTCTCGATTCAGTGTCTATACCCAAGGGTGTTAGTGAGGCTCTCTCCAAACC